ACATTCCACATCTACAATACAAATTCCACAACCCTAAAAGATGCCCTTGTATTTGATGTATTCATTGCAAAATGTGTTCTATAAATAAAGAACGTTTAAAAAAAAGTGATAATATATAACATAAAAAAGAAACATGTATTAGGAGAAAATAAGTATAAGTCCGTTGTTATATTATGATGTCTCCAGAAACTTTCAAATGCATCATTTTCTCTCTCTCTATCTAGACAGATGGTTAGACAGATATAAACATATACCAGAAATTAATTTCATTATTGTTTATGGAATTTGAGAACTTTAAAAAAAAAAAAAAAAATGGATCATAACATTTTAGCAATGTATTATTACTTATGACCATTTTCAGTAAAGTTTTTGAGTAAGTTTTGAAGACTAACCTACAACACTGGTCAATATAAAATATAACTGATATACAAAAACATAATATGACATTATCACAAATCCTAATGTGTCTTTTGTTAAAAAAAAATCCAATAGTGGATTGCTTAATATAATGCATAAAATATATAGTTTTTACCATCATATAAAAATTCCAGATGATGGCAAATATCTCACCTTTGGGTCTAGTATGTCTTATATTTCAAATAAAGTGACAGCCTTAAAGAAGAAAATACTCACCTTTTTATAAAGATTGCCTTTGAGCGATTCCCACTTGTCATCCATAGAATGTATATGAATTAATCTAATTCCTTATACATTGTGTGGACAGGGAGTTAGAGCTAGGTGTCACAGTCTTTACGTTTGTAAATTTCAGTATGAAAACCGCCTTGGGTTAGCAAAAAAGATAGTAATGATATGACCTTTTGTTTGCATATTAACAATTATCTTGACAGAAAAGAATTCTTATAATGACAGATTACAGTGGCTAATAATCCTTATTTATAGTAATATATAGGTAAGATCTGAGATTTCCCATTTTGAGAGTTTCATATTTCATTAACAATTAACATATATTTAAGTAATAATAATTACATTTATTAAAGGAGACATAAGAATTTCCTGATCTTCTTCCTTTTAATAATGTTGTATCCTCTTAACCAACTAAACAGGTTGATGGGAATATTAAAAGCATCACACAAAGAATTGACTATGGTACTGAGTTCATGGTTGAGAGTTCCAACTCACTACTAAGCAAATAAGGTATTAACCATGAGACCTCAGCAATTTATACCCCCATCAAAATTGACTTCCAAGAGAACACGGAGAACACAATTGATATGTCAAGATGTTGTTCAAATGTGAAATGCCATAAGAATTATGGACATATGCAATAATGACAGCTGCTCAGGAGTAAAACAGGGGCTTTAATAGCTAACTAGAAGAAACTCCATATTATTTGTTAATAGGCAAAAGGCATAACCTTTCGAAAATGAAGATTTTTGTGTCAGAATGTTTTGCTTATACATATGATAGGAATAAGCTAGGTTCAAAGTGAAAGATATGTTTTGAATATGACAGGAGCAGTCTAATGTATTATCCGGACACCAGAAAAGTTCTCAAAAACAGGCTTCTGACGTATTACAAAGAAAGCTGTTGAAAAGCAAACGTAAACTGATTTATGGTATGATGAAGCAACCCAAACCTCAAAGAATGAGGAGAATGGTCAAAGAATGATCATTGTACACATTACCCTAAAAGAAATAGAAACGTTTTACAGTAAAAGAAAATGATCGCTATGTATAAATGGACATTGATTATTGTTACTAGGTGTTTGGCATAAACTCACCTCAGTCCCAATTTTGGCTTAATGCTATGAAAGAGGAAATGGATTAACTAAGAAAGAATGACATGTTAACTCACACCAAGAAGTTAAACTTGTAGTGTGGTGGGCAGGGCCGGATTTAAGCTTCTAGGTGCCCTGTGTGAAAAATCTTAGCAGAGCCCCCCCCCCCTTTTTCACAGAGCTCTGCAATAATACAACTCTCAGTAATGTGTAGTGTATGAGCTTGTCACAGAGCTCTACAACAATACAACGCACAGAAATGTGCCTATTAGTATATCACAGAGCTCTACAACTATAAAAATAGAGTAATGTGCATTTTATATGCCAAAACTCCACTGTAATAAAGCTATATCACTATATACTTTAATATGATGTATTGTGTGTTTGGTCTGTGTGTGTTAGGCGTGATGGTTGTGTGTGATATGTATGCTATGTGTTGGCAGTGTGTGATATGTGTGCTGGGTTTATTGGCTGTGTGTGATGGGTACTTAACTCAGATAAAAATATGCATGTAGACAGCATCTATATTTTTACTACGTATCTAGCTTATTTATATCTCACATATATTACTTCAAGGTTGATTACTAGCTTAGAACAGCATTGTAATATCTTTCTTGTTGTTTTGACCACTAAATTGTTAGTGTATGTACCCTACTTATCCATCTACTGACATACTCTGCATAAGCAAGTTTTCTTATTTTAAATAATTGTGCAGTAATTTTTTATGTCATGTGCCTGGCAGTTAAACTTTGCACAGAAAAAAAAATGTATGTATGAATGCAGGTATATATTTTTGTAGAGTCACATACACACAGTCCCACAGTTATACATACACACTTAATTACAGTCACATGCACACTGTCCCAGGTACATAGTCAAACACACAGTCAGTCACACACATGCAGCCACTCACACACAGTTGCAGGCAGACAATGACAAACACACAGATACAGGCAGAATGCCACATACATGCCGCCACACAGTCACACACATACAGGTAGAGACACACACAGTTACAGTCATACATACAGACAGTCATACACATGCAGCCATTCACAGACCATTACAGGCAGACACTCTCTCACTCACACACAGTTTGACTGTGTGTGTGTGTTTTTGTGACTGTCTTTGTGGCTGTAAATATGTATGTGAATGCCCGTCTGTACCTGTGTGTGTTTGTCATTGTCTGCCTGACTGTCTCCCACACACAGTTGCAGGCAAACAATGATAAACACACACAGGTACAGGCAGACAGTTACATACATATGTACGGCCACACAGACAGGCAGACATTAGTAGTTGCAATCACACACATAGTTGCAGTCACACACACAGGCAGACAGTCACACACAGTTACAGTCACACACACGTAGACAGTCAGTCGGAGGCACACACAGTTACAGGCACACACATAGTTGCAATCACACACAGTTACAGTCACACACAGGCAGACAGGCACACATATAGTTACAGTCAGGGCCGCCATCAGAAATTCTGGTGCCCCTGACAAAGCACAAAGTCTGCCCCTCCTCCCGGGCCCGCCCACACCCTACCTAGTCCGCTGACAATGACTGTCATGTGGTATGTATATTGGAGGTTAATTAGAATGTGTGTAATGGATGTAGTGTTTGTGTGTATTAGATACTGTTTGTGCAGTGAATGCAGAGTGTGTGTTTGTGTAGCGGATGCAGTGTGTATAGTGAACGCAGAGTGTGTTTGAGTAGTGGATGTAGTGTGTGTTTGTGTAGTGGATGCAGTGTTTGTATGTACTACATGAAATGTGTTTAGTGGATGCAGTGTCTGTAGTGGATGTGGTGTGTGTATTAGACACAGTGTCTGTGTATAGTGAATGCACATTGTTTCAATTTGTGGTGGATGTAGTGTGTGTACTGTGAATAAAGGATGTTTGTGTAGTGGATGCTGTGTGTGTGTCAGTATAGTGAATCCAGAGTGTGTGCATAGTATAGTGAATGCAGAGTGTATGTTAGTGTGTAATGAATGCAGAGTGTGTGTTAGTGTGTAGTTAATGCAGAGTGTGTCAGTGTAATGAATGTAGTGTGTGTGTTAGTGCAGTGAATGCAGAGTGTGTGTAAATGTGTAGTGAATGCAGAGTGTGTCTTAATGTGTAGTGAATGCAGAGAGTGTGTTAGTGTGTAGCAGATGCAGAGTGTGTGTTAGTGTAGTTAATGCAGAGAGTGTTAATGTGTAGTGAATGCAGAGAGTGTTAGTGTGTAGCAGATGCAGAGTGTGTTAATGTGTAGCAAATGCAGAGTGTGTCAGTGTAGTGTATGCAGTGAGTGTGTTAATGTGTAATTAATGCAGAGTGTGTTAGTGTGTAGTGAATGCAGAGTGTCAGTGTAATGAATGTAGTGGGTGTGTTAGTGAAGTGAATGCAGAGTGTGTCTTAATGTGTAGTGAATGCAGAGAGTGTGTTAGTGTGTAGCAGATGCAGAGTGTGTGTTAGTGTAGTGAATGCAGAGTGTGTTAATGTGTAGTGAATCCAGAGAGTGTGTAGCGGATGCAGAGTGTGTGTTAGTGTAGTGAATGCAGAGTGTTAATGTGTAGTGAATGCAGAGAGTGTGTTAGTGTGTAGCAGATGCAGAGTGTGTTAATGTGTAGCGAATGCAGACTGTGTGTCAGTGTAGTGTATGCAGTGAGTGTGTTAGTGTGTAGCAAATGAAGAGTGTGTGTTAGTGTAGTGAATGCAGAGTGTGTTAATGTGTAGTGAATCCAGAGAGTGTGTTAGTGTGTAACAAATGCAGAGTGTGTTAGTGTAGTGTATGCAGTGAGTGTGTTAGTGTGTAGCAGATGCAAAGTGTGTGTTAGTGTAGTGAATGCAGAGTGTGTTAATGTGTAGTGAATGCAGAGAGTGTGTTAGTGTAGTGAATGCAGAGTGTGTTAATGTATAACGAATGCAGAGTGTGTTTCAGTGTAGTGTATAAAGTGAGTGTGTTAGTGTTTAGTGTATGCAGAGTGTATGTTGTATTAGTGTATGCAGAGTGTGTTGTGTTAGTGTATGCAGAGTGTGTTGTGTTAGTGTATGCAGAGTGTGTGTTGTGTTAGTGTATGCAGAGTGTGTGTTGTGTTAGTGTATGCAGAGTGTATGTTGTGTTAGTGTATGCAGAGTGTGTGTTGTGTTAGTGTATATTACATTTAATTAAATGTTTCTCCCCCCTCCCTGCTTCTTACCTGTGTCCAGGGAGGGGGGAGATTCCATTCCCTGGTGGTCCAGTGGCATGGAGGGGCCCCCGGCTCCCTGTACATGCAGAGGGTGCCCAGCACACAGCTTCTACTCTTCTCTTCTCCTCTCTTCCAATAACTCTCGCAAGACCCGTGGAGCATTGCCATGGTAACCGGGTCTCGCGAGAGTTATTAGAAGAGAGGAGAAGAGTAGAAGCTGTGTGCTGGGCCCCCTCTGCGGTAACAGTGAGTTGGGGGCCTGTGGCTGCACACATAGATAGCGGTATTCGCTATCTATGTGTGCAGAGAGGGAAAGTATGGCCCAGGACTGCCAGAGCAGTCCGGCCCCCCTAGGCCCTGTGACAACCATCATGGTTGTCACCCCCTGATGGCAGCCCTGGTTACAGTCATACACAGGCAGACAGTCACAGACCCACACATGCACGCACACAGACAGTTACACACATAGACAATCACACATATAGTTACCTGTGTGGAGTGAAGGCAGTGCAATTCTTGGAGTCTGATGGTAGTTGGGGAAGCAAGGACTCCTTCCTGCTTCCCCCTTCCTGTGAAGCTTTAGCTTCTGGGTGCTTGTAGCTCTGCCCCCACTGCGATTGAGACCCTGCCTCCACAGCTTATTAAGCCACACCTGACACTCAACAAGCTCCGCTCCCACTGGCATGTTCTTTTGTTTAATAGTCCTGGGTGGAGAATACTGAATTCCTCCACCTGGGTAGCTAGACATGCGTGAGCTGTGTTGGCCACATAGCGCCCTCTGCTACCATGGCGCCCTGTGCACTCGCACTCCCCAAGGCCAGCCCTGGGGGTGGGGTGGGGGGGTTGTCAATGGGTTTATGCAATAAAGCACAAAACTTATGGATCAGAAAGTATACGCTCTAATACGTTTGTGTTCCTGACCCCATAGTGTTCCTTTACCGTTAGGTAAAGGACCCCTATAGGGTCAGGAACACAAACATATTCCTGACCCTATAGTGTTAAATCCACCATCTAGCCTCCCTACCCCCTTGTTCCCCTAAATTTAAAACAAATATAGTAAAAGTTTACCTTTATTCAAGTTTGCAGCTGCTGCTGGCTCTGCCTCTGACCTGCCTGCTTGGCTGACATTATCAGAAGTGATTCCCTGAGCCAATCACAATGCTTTACCATAGGATTGTATAAAACTATCAAGGAGGCAGATCAGGGGCAGAGCCAGCACAAACCTAACACAGCTCTGGCCAATCAGCATCTCCTCATAGAGACTCATTGGATCAATGCTTCTCTATGAAGAAAGTTCAGTGTCTCCATGCAGAGACACTGAATGGTAGTGCTGTACATTTGAGGGGTGGCCACTGGAAGTATCCCTATTATGTAATGTAAATACAGAATTTTCTCTGAAAAGACAGTGTTTACTGCAAAAATCCTGAAGGGAATGATTATACTCACCAGAACAAAGACAATAAGCTGTAGTTGTTCTGGTAACTATAATATCCCTTTATCATGCAAAAAGGAAGTTGATTACAAAGAAATAATCAAATATATGTAGAACGGCAAGAAGGTTTTGATGACAAGTTTAAATTGAATGAAAAACTCATTGCAGTTGCTCATGGGAATGGACAACCAATGCCAGTAAGAATCAGTGCAAGTCTTTGGGGACAATCAGAGGGCAATCGCTCTTTCAAGGAATCCAGTTTGTCATCAAAGATGCAAGTATATTGATATCAAACACCACTGCTAATCAGTGATCAATGAAGGTGTCATGATCCTTGATTATTGCCCATCCAATTGAATGCTTGCAGATACCCTGACTAAGCCAGTAACAAAGTTTAAATTAGAAAGATTCCAATGGCTTCTCCATTTTGGCTTTATTTTTGTTAAATAAATCATGACACAGTGTAATATGCCATATGTTGTTCATCTAAGGTTGCTTGTAAGGAACAGATGATTGTGATTATGTCCTGATAAGTAAAGCCATACAATTCAAAGAGGGTGTACTTTATTTTTCCCATGATTGTATGCGTGCTGTACTTTTTACTATAAAAAGTTTAGCATGATTTCTTACTCCAACTGAGTATGTAATGAGCAAAGTTTAGTTACATTTCCAAAAATCAAATATTCTGTCACCGACTTTTTTCTACTTAAAAATATGAGCACAAGTTGAGTAAATTTGCAGTACAATCTCCTACAGCTTAGAGCCATTGTAGAAGGTGTGGAGAAGTGACATAGAAAAGAGCAGAAGCCTCAAACGTGAAATATGTCATCACCAGCATACATGTTGTCACTTGAAATCTTATTGCTTGAAAACTATTTATTAACAAATTCAATCCATCTATTTTTACTAACAGAAAGTTCTATGCTGGATTCTCAACTATTTCATCTAACTACATCTCTTAACCTGTTTGCAGTTATACTTCCAACTCTCATCTTCAAGACTTCTCCTGAACTGCACAACTCTTTCAATGTTCTACCCACCCAATTCAAATTTCTTTTAATCTTTCATTCTTCACTAACAAAGGTATATCAACTAGTCTGTTAATGTCTTGCCACTGTTTCATCTCACTTTTTTCTTTACCAGTCTGCACCTCGTCTATTAAAATCATCTAATATATACTTATATAGTTAATACACTTACTCTGAACAGATATTTAATTAACGTAATAAAAGTTTCTTCACTTCCCGAGCTCCAAACTCACGAATTGCCACTAGTAGCCGAACGCATATATCTCCCAAGCGGCTAATAATCCCATCTGGCAGTCTCTAGTCGTCGGTAGTGATGTACCGAACGGTTCGCCAGCGAACGGTTCCTGGCGAACATAGCATGTTCGCGTTCGCCACGGCGGGCGAACATATGCGCGGTTCGACCCGCCCCCTATTCGTCATCATTGAGTAAACTTTGACCCTGTACCTCACAGTCAGCAGACACATTCCAGCCAATTAGCAGCACACCCTCCCTAGCAGACCCTCCCACCTACTGGACAGCATCCATTTTAGATTCATTCTCAAGCTGCATGCTTAGTAAGAGGAGGGAAAGTGTAGCTGCTGTTCATAAGATAGGGAAAAGCATAGCTAGGTTAGGGATAAGGGTATGCTTTTTTTGGATTTTTTTTTTCTATGTAATGTAAATGCACTTAGTTGTCTGCCACTGCTGCCAGCTTCTGTGTCAGGCTCACAGTGCCCATTTCCCCAGTCAGTGCCACCATTTACATCTGGTGTCACAATAGCTTGGATTTAAAAACAAAAAACTTTTTTCACTGTTATAGATTGAATAGCAGTCAGTTGTCTGCCACTGCTGCCAGCTTCTGTATCAGGCTCACAGTGCATACTGTGCCCATTGCCACCACTTAGATCTGGTGACACAAAGCTTGGATTTAAAAACAAAAAACACTTTTTTCACTGTTATAGATTGAATAGCAGTCAGTGTCCTTAAAGCGGGTGTCCTTACGCTAACAGTGGATACGGTGACCATTGCCACCACTTAGATCTGGTGACACAAAGCTTGTATTTAAAAACAAAAAACACTTTTTTCACTCTTATAGATTGAATAGCAGTCAGTGTCCTTAAAGCTGGTGTGTTACGCTAACAGTGGATACGGTGACCAGTGCCACCAATTAGATCTGGTGTCACAATAGCTTGGATTTAAAACAAAAACACTTTTCACTGTTATAGATTGGTGGCAGTCAGTGTCCTTAAAGCGGGTGTCCTTAAGCTAACAGTGGATCTGTTTGACCAGTGCCACCACTTAGATCTGAGCACAAAGCTTGTATTTAAAACAAAAACACTTTTCACTGTTATGAAATTGAATAGCGGTCAGTGTCCTTCGCGGGTGTGATCGCTAACAGTGGATCACGGTGACCATTGCCACCACTTAGATGCGGGTGAAGCACAAAGCGTATTTAAAAAACAAAAACACTTTTTCACTGTTATAGATTGAATAGCAGTTAGTTATCTTCAGCGGGTGTCAGGCCTACAGCCTGTGCTCTGCACAACTGTGCAGTGCACATTGCCACTCATATCTGGTCTCACAGTAGCTTGCACGCATAGTACCACTAATCCCAACAAAAATGACAGGCAGAGGCAGGCCACCCCGCAGGGGCCATCGTGGTCGTGTTGCTGTGATTCCCTTTGGCCCTAGAATAATGCCCAGTTTTCAGAGGCCACGTACCCTGAACTTGAAAAGTTCTGAGGACATAGTTGACTGGCTAACACAGGACACCCAATCTTCTACAGCCTCCGCTCAGAACCTTGACGCACCATCCTCCTCCAGCTTAGCTTCAGGCACCTCTCAAGATACCACTCACCGCCTGCCGCCACCACCAAAACTAGCACCACAGCGCTTCAGTTGGTATGTCAGAGGAGTTATTCACACATCCGTTTGAAGAAATGAGTGATGCGCAACCATTATTGCCAGAGGATGTAGATAACAGGGATATGTCTCAGGCAGGCGGCATTACACACATGGACGTACGGTGTGATGATGATGATGATGTTGTACCCGCTGCTGCTTCCTTTGCTGAGTTGTCAGATACAAGTGAAGCGGTTGATGATGACGATGCGTCCATGGATGTCACGTGGGTGCCCGCTCGTCAAGAAGAAGAACAGGGCGAAAGTTCAGATGGGGAGACGGGGAGGAGGAGGAGACGAGTTGGAAGCAGGGGGAGGTCGTCGCAAGGAGCTAGTGGCACAGTCAGGCAGCATGCATCGACACCCGGGGTCAGCCCGACAGCACGCCAATCAACGCATGCTGTGTCCACCACCAGAATGCCGTCATTGCAGAGCTCAGCAGTGTGGAATTTTTTGTGTGTGTCTGCCTCTGACAACAGCGATGCCATTTGCAACCTGTGCCAAAAGAAACTGAGTCGTGGAAGTCCAACACCCACCTAGGTACAACTGCTTTGCGTAGGCACATGATCTCACATCACAAACGCCTATGGGATCAACACATGAGTACAAGCAGCTCGCCTACTCTAAGCCGCCAGCCTCCTCCCGGTCCAGCATCTTCAGCCACGTCAACCACTGCTGTCCTCCTTGTCCCCTCTCAACCATCCGCCACTCCGCCTCCCGCCTTGAGCAGTTCACGCTCATCTTCCCACAGTCATGTGTCTGTCAAGGACATGTTTGAGCTTAAGAAGACAATGTCAGAAAGTCACCCCCTTGCCCAGCGTCTGACCGCAGGCTTGTCCGAGCTATTAGCCCGCCAGCTTTTACCATACAAGCTGGTGGAGTCTGAGGCGTTCAAAAAAT